AAAACAAAGGGATAGGGATCAACTTAAGGTACCAAGCCCATCCAGAATGAGACTTGAAACAAGTTGTACCCTAGCCGTGGTAGATAAAGTGCGACGTTTTGTATGTAACAAGTGAGATCTTACGAACAGAAATGCCACTGGCAAAGGCCATCAAGTGCCCCAGCCAACAGGGTATGGGTTCACCCACATAAAACTTAAAGTCATACCTCCCATCCTACCGTCGCATACAAGTATTCATGCTAATTCATACGAAGGCATATTGATCAAGTTGTCAGACGCAGGGCTTACGGATTTCTCTGTGTTAGAACTGTTGAAACAGGCGCTGGGTAATCTCATCATTGTATATTAGATGGCTTACGGTAAGTTACTAATTGTAGTGTTGTACTTCTGATATGACAGCCTTATAAAGGAACCTTTTGCAACGGAAAATATGTTGCAGCGTTATTGTCAAGAGCCATGGTCGTTAAACAGAAGATGGGGGTACTTGGGGGAAATGTACCTCAAAGGATGTGGTGAGGCTCCAAAATAATTTTATAGCACATTCAAACCTACCCCCTCCCATATACATAAACTCAACCTCTGTATCGTTACCACGGAAACGTAACAATACTTAAAACAAAATGGTTTCACTGTTTGTTTTGAATTCCGCGCAAAGATGCACGAGCTGCGCTAGCCGTCCCTAAAATTATAAATGAAAGGAAGCTAGTCATCACCACCTACCGCCAACTGTTGGACTACTCTTTTACCAACGAATAGTGGGATTGACCGTCACATTAGAACGCCCACACGGCTGAAAGGGCAAGCATGTTTGGTGGCACGGGGATTCGAACCCGCGACCCTCCGATTGCGAGTCAAGCGCCCTAACCACCTGACCATCCCGGGTTTTTAACAAATGAAAGAACAAAAATGGAGGAATTAAGTTCTAATATACGATTCTAGTGCAAATTATATTTTCGTCCAACATTTGGTCTGCACTGTGGTGTAAAGTGACCGAAAAGTATGCAGTTAGGGCATTAATTCTTGTTGATTGTATAACTGAAGTAATTGAAGGAAACTGGAGTCTAAGTTGTGTCAATGAATTACAAAGACAAAAAATTAAGTTTGTTTGAAATTTCTCTAGCAGAGGAGCGACAAATAGTACTGCCTCCCATTGCGACATCCAAAGAGATTCAAGACCTGCGCGAGGGGACGAAGTACGAAGTCGTTGTGTGGGCCGTCTACTTGGGAAATCGGCGTATAGCAGCACCATCGACAATAATCGAAACACAGTTTTCTATCGCCACAGAAAAGCACGTGCTTCCAGAAAACAGCTCGTTTTTAGAAAAAGGTAAGTAATTAGGTGTCCAGTGATATAAGAAGTTCACCAATAGGTGTTTTAGTGCGAATAACTTTACTATAGGTTCGTAGTTCTGGTACGCATATATATATAACTCCCTCTGTACGCCAAATGCCTCGAAACTGTTTGCTGAAACCCCAGTTATGTTTTTCAATCTAGTTGTCTGTTTTGTTTTTGAAGAGTAAAGCCACGTTGGGCTATCTTCTCTGTTCACCGCGGGGAATCGAACCCCGGATCTTAGTATTTTAAGTCCGTAAACATACAGCTGTCTCACTAGGAGACATCTATTTATCTATAACGGAATACTTAGTTTATTTCAGGTACATTTTTTTTTATCATAAAACAGCCATACAACAGAGATTCAACCCCTAAGTTACCGACTCGTTTCTCTGCACATCTTGCTACCCGTGAAATCTAAATATTGCACCATGATGAGTAATTTTATCTATTTATTGCCCCTTAAAACAATTAGTATAATGGGTAAATCGACCAAAGAATTTGTTTAAAGTTACACATCTAGAATACATAAAGGATTCTTTTAAAAATTAGTCGGGTTATCTTCAATGTTAATATATTTTTTATTTACGTTTTCTGTGTGTTATTAGGGTCCCTGAAACAGATGAATTCATGGACCCACAAGCAACTTGGTGTG